AAATCTTTTATTTGTCCTTATTTTGTGCCATAGGCCGACCTACCCTTTGGGTAAGGGAGTCACAGGCCCGGTAACTTCAGAAAAAATTTAAGTATAAATATACATATATCTTAAATGACATGTATATGTTTTGATTGACACCCTAAAATTAAATCTGAGACAATCGTATGGGTCGATTTGAGATCACAATTTAACTTTAATGTGTTGACTGGGTTCGAATTTGACTCTAACAATTGCTCAAATTTTTGTTTGATAATAGTGCTCCGCCATTTTCAAATCCTACGTCAGCCTCGACTTTGTACCTTTGGATGTGAATTATTCAGATTTTTCATGTGAAAGGAAAATGGTCAAGCAAGCAAAATAAGATAATATGCCAACATGAGGACTGTGAAATGAAGAGTGTGCTGGGACAGCATATCTATGCCTTTTATAACACAGTGCCAATTGCCAAAATTAAAGCACATCAAATGATACAGCCACGTCATGGAAGCATGGACAGTCACATAAGTAAAACAAAGATTCTTGAAAAATTATTCATTTCGTGATTAATCATTAATCAAGTGAAGAGAAAGAGAAATTACACACTCTACTAAGTAACACTAATTCCCTAATTATTAAGCACAAAAACCTCAAGATCATGACTCATGGACGGTTTGGCTCCATGCATTGGCATGTTCTACATTCCAATACAACAACAAACAAACTTTTAATCTAAGTTACTCTTACTATAGCAAATCAAACTTTATAATAAACTGTTCCATTTGCTCATTTATCTTTGATTTTTCATTCAAGTACATGTATTAGTAATTAATCAAATGTAATTTTACTCAACCTCTATTACAAATGAACAAAGAAACGAAAACGACATAATCAGTCAAGGACATTGTAGCCGGGGTGATATAACCATATAGGAGTAACTAATAATGAGAGCTATAAATCACAGATGCACACCCTGATACACACTATTAAAGAAATTGTACATATTAATTAGCTATAATTAAGCGATAGAGGTTATTAATTTGGTGTACACATTGGGGTGAAGATAAATTTTTACCCATTATTACATGTCTGATTGTCTGCCAAGTTTGTATTCGAACGAATCAAAAGTCAAATTTTATGGACTCATATAATTAATTGTTTAAATTACAAAACATACTTGCAAATGAAAAAGAACTTCAAATATGATAACACCAACTAAAGGTAGATCAAATAAGGTTAGATTCCATTATGTTAGGACCGAAATAATCAGGTTTTATGCGGAAGCTAGTAAATCAAATCTTAAACGACGATAAATCAGACAATAACAGAGAAATATAGCAAAAGAGACACAACCGTTTAACGTGGTTAAGTCAATTGGCCTACGTCCACGGCGAAGATGAGCAATCCACTATATAAAAGAGAATAAAAAATATCGAGAGAACAACCTCACAAAGAGGCGAACACAAGTGGTAGGCTAACACTTGTCCCGAAATTCTCCCCCTAACCAAGACTCTCAAGTCCCTTATGACTACATTTTTAGATGCTACTGAATGAGAAGGAAGGATCCTTAATTTATAGAAGTTCAAATATTTTTCTACAAGAAAATCGACAGCCAAACATGAGAGATTTCTACAAGAAGAAAAACCCAATTATGGTAAATATGTTGCCCTTTCCTTTAAGCGATAAAAAAACCAAATATGATAAGAAAATCAGGACAAACACCTAACACATTATTCAAATAGCCATTCAACTATTCGAATTATCCAGTAAAGATATATTATTTTTTTATTTATAACAGAAAAATCACTTAACTATTTCTATAGCATTCAAAAGGTTATTCAACTAAATTTCTCAAACTTTCGTTGGCCAAATATCTATTTTTCTCTAAATTATCAATACTTTTTTAATTTTCTAAATATTATAAATTTTTTTATCTTACTTTATGTTATGGACTTACCTACAGAATAAATAAATTTTATTTATAAAGTAAAAAATAAAAAATAAATAATTTCCAAATATATATAGTGTTGAAACAAAATAACTAAGCAAAGTTTTCAAGGACATATAAGGTATATTATAAAAATACCTCTATTTAAAATAATTATTTTTTTGTATTATAAGGTGCGAGAAAGGAAGGCCCGTGACCTGGACCAAGTGAAGTGCATTAAGGACGAGAAAGGGAGAGTTTTGTTGGATGAGGTACTTATTCAACAAAGATGGCAGACTTACTTTCATAAACCCTTGAACGAAGCAGGGGATAGGAACATTGAGTTAGGTGACTTAGAACACTCAGAGAGTCATCTGGACTTTGGGTATTATAGGAGTATAAGAGTCGAGGAGGTTTAGGGGGTTATGTGTAAGATAAATAGGAGGAGAGCGACCGGTCCAGACGAGATCTCGGTAAAATTTTGGAAGAGCGTAAGTAGGGCGGGCTAGGAGTGTCTCACTGGGTTATTTAATGTCATTTTTAGGATGAAGAAAATGTCCGAAGAATGGAGATAGAGTATGATGGTCCCTTTGTATAAGAACAAGGGTGATATCTAAAGTTGCAACAACTACCGGAGCATTAAGTTACTAAGCCGCTCTATGAAATGTTGGGAGAGGATGGTGGAGCTGAGGTTGAGGAGGTTTGTGATTATTTCTGAAAATCAGTTCGGATTTATGTCGGAACTATCGACGACGGAAGCTATTCATCTTGTTAGGAGGTTGATGGAGTAGTATAGAGATAGGAAGATAGATTTACATATGGTGTTCATCGACTTAGAGAAGGCTTATGATAAAGTGCCAAGGGAGGTTTTGTGGAGATGTTTGGAGGTTAGAGGTATCTATGTTGTACATTGAGTTATTGAGGACATGTATAATGGTGCTAAGACCTGAGTGAAGACCGTGGGAGAGAATCGGAACACTTCTCAATTATGATGGGGTTACACCATGGGTCAGGCCTCAGTCCTTTTCCTTTTGCCTTGGCGATCGACGCATTGACGCGTTACATACAAGAGGAGGTGTTGTGGTGCGTGTTATTTGCAGATAACATTATTTTGATTGATGATATGCGATGAGTTGTTAACGAGAAGTTAGAGGTTTGGAGGCAGACCTTGGAGTCTAACGGTTTTAAGTTGAGCTGGACCAAGAAATAATACTTGGAGTGTAAGTTCAGTGGTGTACCTCAGGTAGTGGACGAAGACATGAGGCTTCAGTCACAATGTATACCTACGAGAGAAAGTTTTAAATATCTTGGGTCAGTTATACAAGGGAATGAGAAATCGACGAGGATGTTACATATCGTATTGGGGCAGGATGGATGAAATGAAGGCTCGCTTTTAGGGTTTTATGTGATAAGAATGTGCCACCAAAACTTAAAGGTAAGTTCTACAGAGCGGTGGTCAGACCGACTATATTGTATGTGGCGGAGTGTTGGCCCGTTAAGAAGTTCCATGTCCAAAAGATGAAGGTGGATGAAATGAGGATGTTGACATGGATGTGCGGGTATACCAGGTTAGATAGAATTAGAAATGAAGTTATTCTTGACAAGGTGGGCGTGACCCCTATGGAGGACAAAATGCGGGAGGCGAGACTTAAATGGTTTAGGCATGTGAAGAGGAGAGACACAGATGCACCGGTGATGAGGTATGTGAGGTTGTCCCTGGAGGGCCTAAGGAGGTAGAGGCAGGGCGAGGAAGTATTGGGGAGAGGTGGTTAGGCAATATATGGCGTTGCTCCAGCTTACTAAGGATATTGCCATGGATAGGAAGGTGTGGAGGTTGAAAATTAAGGTTGAGGGTTAGGACAGGTAGCCGAGTGTTGTCCTTGTCGGTAATAGTAACTTTAGTACGTTATTAATTAGCGTTATTTGTGTATTCTCGTATCCCTTGACTTCTGTGATTGTTATTGCTTTCGTATCGGCCTTTTGATTGTAGTACCTAGTGTATTTAGTTTTGTATTTTTGCTTCGGTTTCAATTGGTATATTTGTTGTTGTTGCCCTTCCTTTTACCTATCTTAAGCCGATGGTCTTCCGAAAATAACCTTTTTGCCTTCTTGAAGGTAGGGGTAAAGTGTGTGTACACACTACCCTCCCTAAACTCCACTTGTAGGATTACACTAGGTTTGTTGTTGTTGTTGTTGTATTTTTTTGTATTACATTCATGAAATATATCCTTAAAAAGTTTTTATCCTTTTTTATTCTCAAATTTGCAAATAATTTTTTGAGTTTTGTTGTTATTATTAAAATTATTGGTACGAATAAATAATTTCAATTAAAGTTTTTACTGTGCTCAATTTGTTATTTATTTATTAATTTCAGGTGCTTAAACTCTTAGTTTCTAACTCAAATATAATTTTAATATAATATATAAGTGATTTAAAAATAATTACTCATTGCGTACACGCACAACAAGCGTACGATCAGACTGGTTAGATAATAGTTTAAATAGAGGGGTGAAAAAATTATATTAGTTTCAATAGCATTTGACATATTGGACCAAACTCGCCATAAAATGAGGTGTCGAATTATAATTTATCTGGTTCAAAGTTGAAATTATATTTAATTTTTTTACTTTTAGTCGCTACTATGCAGAAATTTAAGAAAATTAAAAGAAAACATAAAATATAGCTTGCAGTCTCAAAGTACAAACTATAGGATGTTATGAAAATAATTATATTGTGGATATACATTTATTATTTCGTTATAGATAATCTTCCTGAAGAAGATTATCCATTTAGTACTCTGTTAAAATTTATCTACAAGCAGCTGATGCAGACAGGTTGCAAGCAGCTCAATGAAATGATTTGCAGCAGCTTCTTATTAAACAGATAGCTTACAAGCAGCTAAAGAAAAGCCTTACAGCTTCTTCCTGAAAAGCCTCGCAGTTGCTTCTTTTTTTCTATAAATAGAGGAGGTTTCAGTTCATTATGTACATGAGTTTGAAGTTGAATAAATATATCAATTTTCCTCTATACTTGTCTTCGATTTTTTTACTTTACAGTCTTTATTTTATAACACGTTATCAACACGATTGTCTAACCAACTGAGCAAATACTTTGAAAGATCACAATGTCAAAGCGAGGACGCGGAGGTTCCGCCGGGAACAAATTCCGTATGTCACTGGGTTTACCGGTGGCGGCTACAGTCAACTGTGCCGATAACACTAGAGCTAAGAACCTTTACATAATCTCAGTAAAGGGTATAAATGGTAGGTTGAATAGGTTGCCATCAGCTTGTATAGGTGATATGGTGATGGCTACTGTAAAGAAAGGGAAGCCTGATTTAAGGAAGAAAGTTATGCCTGCTGTTATTGTTAGACAGCGCAAACCTTGGCGACGAAAGGATGGTGTTTTCATGTACAAGATTGTTTATCTTCAATGTAAGGCTACACTTTTATATCCGTGGTCAGATCTTGTTCATTCCGAGCATCATAAGGCAGATTATATCTTTGAGGTGGTGAATTTTTCTTTTTGACAGTAGTGATGCAGATATCACTTACATATGGAGCAGACAAATTTGCGTAATTTAATTTGAGCTTTTCGCTTATATTTTAATATCTTTATCATCGCCTGCTTGGTTATATGTTACGTATATAGTACCTATTTTGGTATTTGTTTTCATCCTTATTATCTTAATAAAGGATTACAAAGTGTATAACATTGTTATATCCACTTAAACTCTAACAGAGTTTGCAAAAAATATACAACCACCAGAAGTGATTGTGTTTCATATATCTCATTGTAACTAAATTTTATTAACCACCAGAAGTGATAATTTATGTTTGCTATGGTTACAATGAAGATAAGCTAGAAAAATATTCTCTATATTACATGCACGCCTCATTTTGCTCATGAAGTAGTAAATATTTTAAAAGAGGTTGAAGCATCACAATTTGATGTGATTAATGCGTGTTCAGATAATTATGTTCGATTTTTTGAAGGATGAGAATTTTTATAAATAATAATCTATTCCCTGAAGTGAATGTGACAATATTAATAAAGCCGTAAATATGAGCGCGCTATTGATGTAAATATATTACGATTCACCTCCATAAGAGGTAATATGATTGAGAGAATATATACTCAATTTTTCGTATTTTAATTTGCTTCTGAAGAAGTAACACAATTGAGATTTTCTCCCGAAGTAGAAAAATATTATGAAACTGTGTCTTTTTGTGCGTAGATAAAATAATGAGCTATTCAAAGTTATTTTGAAGCACATTTTTATTCCCTGGAGTGAATGAAGAAATACCACAACTCACCTCCGGAAGAGCTCGAATAACAGAGGATATAAATATTATTTTTGTGGCATAAAGATCATTGCCGCACGTACTTGTTGTACGTAAAACATCTTGGATAATTTTATTAAGTATCATTCTAATGCAAAAGCATTATTGTAGAATGCTTTTTACTACAACCACATTAATATATTATGGTTAGCTATTGAGTTTCCCGAAGAAAATAACAACTCATGTATCTTTGCTAAAAAGATGCAATGACTATATGGTTGCCGTATTAATACAAAATATTCAGATGTTAATGATATTTCTCCTTGAAGGAAATATTTATCACAAAGTTAGTGGTAGAAATATTAAAATTCTTAATTTTAGTCATTTATAAATTTAGAATTAGCTTTATATTATTCATTTGATTATGATTTTCTCTCATGACACCAGAAGTGTCTGAGCAATATTTGGTAGTACAACAAAAACTCCTGAAGAGCTAACTGTTTGTCTAGAAGACACATGACACAAGTAGTATCTGAATAATATTTGATTGTGGACAATAAATGGAAGGCTCCCGAATAGCTTATTTGTCATTATTGTGGTCAAAACATATGTTATGATAAATCGAAGTTTACTAATACATATGACGATAATACCGAGACTACAAATGATTGAAAGATTGAAAATCTTCATGTTTTCACAATCATATGGGGTAAATATGTATGTGAGAAGTTACCCGTCTTATTCTTCAAATTTGTACTATATCATGTATCACAATATACCAGAAGTTTACTAATACAAAAGCAGCCACAGTAAATAAAAAATTTACTGATACAAAAGTAGTCACAGTAAATTAGAAGTTTACTGATGCAATAGTTTATGCCATAGTAAACCAGAAGTTTACTTAGAGATAGCACATGACATGATAAACTTGAAATTTTCATTTGCCATTTTTAAATGAGCTATTTGAGAATTCAGATAAGCATATACTGAAAAACTAGAAGATTCTTCAAAAATTCTCTTGTGTTGCTTGTTCTCATAATAACTTGATTATACCAGCTAAAGTTGAGTAAAATTCCCGAATTTTAGAATATATATAAAAGGTGAATATGGGCTCATTCACCTATCATGTGAACCACTTATAGATGTATATATAAGATGGTTACATGTATGTTTATTGTCAACATGCAGTTTGGCATTTGAAATTGTCTTTCTCAATTAAGAGCATAATTTTCAGATTATGAAATCAAGATAGTTCATCTTGATGATGCTGGTTTATATCCAAGCTAGTTTAGCATTGAATACCTCCTATTAATGGCTAAACTATTGCTTATGAGAATAAAGTCTCATGTGTTGGTCTAAAGATTTTCTAAATTGCATACAACGGTACTTGTACGCATCAGACAAACAAAATATGATAAATCCTCCCCTCACAATTGGTTTAGGATCAAAAACTAAATATTTTTACTATCTAATAACTTTTGATGTGTGGTATATGATTAATTTCTCTACCACAATACACAAAGATAGGTTTTCCAAAGAAAATTGGGGATATGTGTTAGTTTTTGTAACATCATTGTGGGGATGGAATAAACAACTGAAAAATATGCTATATGAATCGAATTATCAATAATATGATCCTCACTTAGAATATAATTCAAGTCAAATGCCAAAAGTATTTGCTGATCCAAAATTAAATATCATATTTCAGCTACAAATGCTTCTATTAAAATTGAAGTCCCTGGAGGATAAAGTTTATTGCATGCATGAAGCATAATAAACTGATCGGTTCCAAATGTAACAATCCTTGAAAAAGATGGGAGCAAATGATCAAAATGATCATAATGAGGAGGAAATGAGCTCTAAAAGAGCCCACGACATAACATTTCATGAAACTCCAGAAGAAATTCAGGTACTTAAAAATAAAGAAAGTGATGAGATCTTAACATGTTATGTCACTTGCGAACCGATACAAAACGATCGTCGATGATATATTTGATACAATATAGTTCACAATATTGTAAAAGATTGTGAGGATCGGACCTGTAGTCCAGATACCTGAAGATGTCATGCCATCTAAATGCAAGTCATAACCTATATGACTCATTTGATTAAGTCTATATGAAGATCCCTAAAGGATTTAAAATGCCTGAAGCATATAGTTCAAAGCATTGTGAAATGTATTCAATCAGAGTACAAAGATCTTTGTATGGTTTAAATCAATCTGGGCGCATGTGATATAATCGCCTCACTGAATTGATGAATGAAGGTTATGTAAATGATGGCATTTGTCCATGCATTTTTACAAAGAAAACAACATCATAGTTTGTTATACTTGTTGTTTATGTTAATGGCATAAATATCATAGGAACTCCAGAAGAGCTCCAAAGGGAAAAACTATCTTAGTCTGCAAATTGAATATTAGGAGACGAGATCTTTATCCATCAATTTGTCTAGACAGAAAAGGTCTTAAAGCGCTTTTATATGGATAAAGCTCATCCATTAAGTACACCAAATGGGTATTCGATCACTTGAAGTGAATAAGAATCCGTTCAGACCTCCAGAAGATGATGAGGAACTCCTTGGTCATGAAATACTCTATCTCAGTGCAATTGGTGCACTTATGTATCTTGTTAATGCTAACAAAGGTGGTGCAGATCATATTGGTTATGCAGACGCAATTTATTTATCTGATCCACATAAAACTCGATCTTAAGCCGGATACGTGTTTACATATGGAGGTACTGTTATATCCTGGCGCTCCACAAAACAATCTATTGTTTCTACTTCTTCAAATCATGCTGAGATAATAGCTATTCATGAAGCAATTAGGGAATACGTATGGTTGAGATCAATAATATATTTTATTCGAGAAAAATGTGGTTTGGAATATGAGAAAAGACCCACAATTTTATACGAAGACAATGCTGCATGCATAGCCCAACTGAAGGGAGAATTTATAAAAGGAGATAGAACGAAGCACATTTCACCAGAATTATTCTACACACACGATCTTCAGAAAAATTGTGACATTGATGTGCAACAAATCCGGTCAAGTGACAATCCAACAGATTTATTTACTAAATCTTTGCCAACTTCAAATTTTGAGAAGATGGTATACAAGATTGGAATGCGGAAACTCAAATATTTGAAACAAGGTTTTCATCAGGGAGAGTAAAATACGCGATGTACTCTTTTTTCCTTACTAAGATTTTTTTCCCACAGGGTTTTCCTTATAAGGTTTTTAATGAGGCAGCTAGAAATGCGTATTACTAAATATGTGTACTCTTTTTCCTTCACTAGGATTTTTCCCACTGAATTTTTCCTAGTAAGGTTTTAACGAGGCACAATACATTTTAATGAACATCAAAGGGGGAGTGTTATGAAAATAATTATATTGTGGATATCCATTTATTACTTTGCTATAGATAATCTTCCTGAAGAAGATTATCCATTTAGTACTCTGTTGAAATTTATCTACAAGCAGCTGATGCAGACAGGTTACAAGCAGCTCAATGAAATGATTTGCAGCAGCTTCTTATTAAACAGGCAGGTTGCAAGCAGCTCATGCAGATAACTTACAAGCAGTTAAAGAAAAGCCTTGCAGCTGCTTCCTGAAAAGCCTCGCAGCTGCTTTCTTTCTTCTATAAATAGAGGAGTTTTCAGTTCATTATGTACATGAGTTTGAAGTTGAATAAATATATCAATTTTTCTCTGTACTTATCTTCGATTTTTTTTAATTTACCGTCTTTATTTTATAACACAGGAGAATATCTTTCCAGATTAATACGACATCATTTGAACTTTAGACCGGATAAATTATAATTAGGCTGTTGAGAATTTGGCGAATACGTCAAATGCAAACTTTGGAGGGCAAAAATACAAAAATAGGCCGCAAAGTGGTCTGTCTTGAATATTTGTCAAGCTTGTCCCGTGGGTAGAGTTTCAAGTTTAATAAGTGTTGTCTTTTGCTTGGTTCCCACAATACTTTTAATTTTTGAACTTGACGTTCTGTCCATGATGGAAGTGGGGTCAAAAATTAAAGACCATCCCAAAAAAATAAAAAAATTTGTAATTTTTTGAACTTTAGATCGGGTAAATTATAATTGGACTGCTGGTTTTATGGCGAATTTTGCCTAATCTGTCAAATGCTAATGAAACTAGCCAAATATGTTCATCCTCTATTTAAAGTATATACTATCTAATTAGTCTTAACATACGTGTATTGAACGTGTTGCTTGTTTCGATGAATAATTTTATGGCG